CCCCCACCCTTGCACCAGGAGCAGAGTGCAGGGAGCAGCATTGTGAACCCCCTGCCTGCTTCTCACATGAGTCCCCAAGTGAGAAGCTGGTTGTGGGGGTGGGATATGCCCCCTGCTCTGCTCCCTGAGACAAAGTAGCAATGGTTCTGGTTGAAGGCTACTGTGGGAGGGGAGGAGCAGCCACCATGGCTCCCTGCCTCTTTCCCAAGCTGGGTACTGGCCAGCTGGGAGCTTCCCTCCCCTTCCCCACCCTGGGATCACCCTGGTGTTGGGAAGGAATGGGAAGCAGGAGACAGGGCAGCTGCAAATTGAATGTATGTCCTGCTCCCTTTGATGGACAGGGGCAGCTGCAAATTGAATGTATATGCTGCTCCCTCTGACAGAAGGATATTTTTTAGTGGAAATTTCTCAGAAATTTCCACAAGCAGAAATGAAGGTCTGTTTGTGGCCAGTGTAGCCAACATGTAGATTAAGTGTATTCTGGGTTTTTTGTAGTTCCTTGAGGAAATTTTGCATATAATTGTATCTGTACATGTAAAAATGTCCTTGCCAGTTTATTGCAAACTGGTTTAAAATATACAATTCATTTTTTAGTAACTGACTAACAGCAACAAAAATAAATTGCAGTGATCAGAAACTCATTCACTATATTCCAGTGTAAACTCAAAGGTATTTAGCATGCAACCCACCTGTTCACTCTTTTCCACCCCTCTTCCCAATTCTTTAATATCTCTTCTGTGTGTTTGTTGTTTTTTTTACCTATTGATCCTACTGCAGCTTCACCTACCAGCCCTGACAAAAAAGCTAAGCGGCATGAAGTAAAGAGTGATCCAACTCCTGTTGGTTTAAGAGGTAGAGTGATATCACATTTTCTATTCCACAATAAGCCAGCCATCCTTCATATTATCTTCATGTAAAAGGGGTGTTACTGCATATAATAATACTGTGTGCACCACAATATTGACATCAGCTGGGTTTTCTAAATTGCTCACTCAGTTGCTGTGGATTTTTGGTTTTGACAAAAAAGCTTTTGCAACTGTGTACCTCATGATCAAATAATGTAGCATACCATTCATTTCAAGAGTACTGTTACTCTATCAAAGAAACAAGGGGCTGCCCATTTCAATGTGTATATAATGGAGTCTCGTCATTCTGGGTAAGGGAGGAAGCAGGTTATCCCAGATATCTGCAGAGCTAGATCCCTTGTCATCTGTTTGACTTCTTCCACACACAGCGCTCATTGTATAAAGGGGGTATACTCATATAAAAGCACTCCAGTAATGGCATGCTTCCATTAGAGTGGGAATTATGTTGCTGAGGATCATGAAGGTGGAACTTGCATTATTTTTTTCTATCCTTTTATTATATGTGTTAAATATTTATTTTCCAGTCTTTTATCTCTGAGCACTTCCATTTTTAATTCTCCCGGGTGCTAGGAGACAACTTTTAGTGCTTGCTTTTAAGAAACCCCAGCCCATATTCTTGGACCTTGTGTAGTTTTCCCTTTACCCCAACTGAGCCAAGCAATACCTAGTCTATGCAGAAACGTTTCATCAGGAGAGGTCCCATTCTGTTTGTAAAGTGCTGCACACATACATGGTCAAAGCCTGTAGTCAGCTCGGTCCTCTACTGTACCAAGTGGATTAAGGTTTCTGCTGCCACTCAATAACCCACTAAGGTGTGTGAAAATACTCCAGGGCTATCAGATGGCTGCTGTGTTTCTAGTAAGAAGTTGGCAGCCTCCCAGAATGCACTTTGAGCTGTAGCAGAATGGAGTGCCACACAACGTTAGTACTGTTAGGTGTGCAAAAATTATTCACAATGATTCACATAGTGTCAGAAATAAATCAGCTGGGTTCCTCTGAGCTGCAACAAGTCTCCCACCAGATCATTGTTGTTATGGTGGACTTGTGAAAAGTTGGGTATAGTTTATGACAGGGTTTTAACCAAGCTCCCGACATCCTTGCTGCCAGTATTTTGTGGGCAGGCAGGAATTGGCTTCTGTGGCTTATTACTTTCTGAAGCCCTGGGAATGAAAGCTGCTAGGATTTTTGATCATTTCACTATATGCCTGCAAAGTTCTAATACTAGTGAACCTCTCCAGAATCTTAGAAGCATTGAAAATTAGGGTTGGAAGGGACCTCACTTGGGGGGTCATCTAGTCCAGCCCCCTGCTCAAAGCAGGACCATCCCCATCTAAATTATTCCAGCCAGGGCTTTGTCAAGATGGGTCTTAAAAACCTCCAAGGATGGAGATTTTACCACCTCTCTAGGTAACCTGTTCCAGTGCTTCACCACCAGCCTAGTGAGACAGTTTTTCCTAATACCCAACCTAAGCCTCCCTTGCTGCAAATTGAAACCATTGCTCCTTCTTCCATCATCTGTCATTACTGGGAAGAAGTCTAGCACCATCCTCTTTTGAACCCCCCTTCAAGTAGTTGAAGGCTGCTATCAAATCCCCTCTGGCTTCTCTTCTCCAAACTAAATAAATCCAGTTTCCTCAGCCTCTCCTCAGATGTGCCCCAGCCTCCGCAACATTTTCATTGCTCTCTGATGGACTCTTTCCAAGTTGTCCACTTCCTTTCTGTAGTGGAGGGCCCAGAACTGGACATGGTACTCCAGTGGTCTCCCCAGTGCAGAATAGAGAGGAATAATTACTTCCCTCAATCTGCTGGCAAGACTCCTACTAATGCAACCCAGTCTGCTCTTAGCCTTTGTGACAACAAGGGCACACTGCTGATTCTATATCCATCTTACTGTCCACTGTAACCCCCCTGGTCCTTTTCTGCAGACCTGCTGCTGACTGCTTAGCCAGTCAGCCCCCAGCCTGTACCGGTGCATCAGATTCTTCCATCCCAAGTGCAGGACTTTGCACTTGTCCTGGTTGAACCTCATGACATTTCTTTTGGCCCAATCCTCCAATTTGTCTAGTCTCTCTCAATTCTAGTCCTACCATCCAGCATAGATACTACTCCCCCCCCCACACACACACACCCACGGCTTCATGTCATCTGAAAATTTACTGAGTATGAACTCCATCCCATCTTCTAGATTATTGTTGAAAATATTGAACAAAATTGGCCCCAGGACCAACCCTTGGGGCACTCCGCTTGACACTGACTGCCAACTAGACATTGAGCCCAGCAGTCCAGACAGTTTTCTATCCATCTTACAGTCCATTCATCTAACCCATAATTCCTTAGTTTGGTAGCAAGAATGCTGTGGGAGACTATCAAAAGTCTTGCTAAAGTCAAGGTATATCACGTCTACTGCTCTCCCAGCATCCACCAATTCTAACCTCCTGCTATCCAGCATCCATGGATGCAATCTCCTATCCTCCCCAGAACCCCTGCCATTGATAGCCTAAGAGAGCTTTTCTATTTTAAAATGCCTGTTTTCACTGTTTTTCTCTCTCTCATTCATCTCCTCTCCCCCACCAAATTTCCAGCAGGAAAAATGGACTTATGGGGGGGGGCAGGGCAGGGCAGGAGGGGCAGCT